AAAAAAAAAAAAAACAAAAAAAAAAAAAAAAAAAAAAAGAAAGAAAGAAAAGTAGGGACCACATCTCTAATTTAATACTGTATATGTATAGTACAAATCCATACATGAACAATTTTTAAAGGAGAGTAATATCTCCCTAAGAAAGAAAAGTACTCTAGAGGACTCCAAGTAAAAATTGAACTGCATTATCAAAATTTTACAGTCATGCCTTTAAAATAGCATAGCCTATTTGGAGCATTCTCAAGAGTTCCTCAACACAACTCACAATCCCAAAAAAGAACACAATTTAAAAATACGATTTCTCTATAGAAGCTTTGTAATTAGAGCTTTAAAACAAAATACAAGGTCATATTTAAGAAATTTACTAATTAAATCATACCTCATAAATAATTCTCTGTACAAGGTCAAATTCTCCCTCCAAAGATGAATCGAGAAGTAAAGCAAGGGGGTTGAACTTCACCCTCATTCCATGAGCAATCCGCTCTGAACCAGTTTTACGCAAGTTTGTTCTTTTGCCCTGCAAAGGGAAGGCATGGAAAATTAAGGATCCTCATCTAAGCAAAAGAGACCAACAACAAGAAGGGAGGAACAACATCTCAGCTAAACTGGTGAAAGAAACGTCAGAAATACATATTTAGCACATTTTATGCAATTATAACATTCTTCAGAAAAGTACAGAAATCATAATATACAGTTTAATGCATTTTTACAAAGTGAACACTCATGTAGCAAAGGGGGAGGAACTTAACTTTAACTTTTTAACCTAATAAAATTCCATCTGTGTAATATTTTACTGTATGAATGAACTAAGATAAGAGTATAATCTGAAGTGGCAAATAGGCTGGCTTTCTATCAAGTACCAAAGTAGCCATGATTGGTCTTTAAATTACCTATCTAATATAGTATAGCAAACCCAACACAGCTCAAAATTAGTATAGCTAACACATACGGGGGCAACACTGAGGGTTGCGATCCGTTGCCGGACACGGAAAAAGACAAAAAAAAATCTTCCTACCACTCTCCTCAATCAGCAGATTCAACCTGGTAATCTTGAGAAATATTTAGGAGGTTGCTGAAGACTTGGTTATTTTATTTTGTTAACGAAGAAGTTAATTATGGACATGAAGAACATACAATATCTTATAGGAAGTATGCAAAAACCGATTAAAAAAATAATGGTTTCGATTGGTCCAAGATGGCGACGGGTCTGGAGTGGCCGTGGCAGGAGACAGCGCGATCCTGAGAGCTGTGCGCTGTGATACCAGAGTAAACCCAAAACATGGTAACCTCTGTTTAAAACCTTTCTTTTCTATATTTTCAAATATTTACTACATAAAACTTTTAAGCAAATGTTTATTGCAACCAATAAAATAACTCTGGATAATCATTATCTTTAAATACTATCATATCTAGAAAATAGAATAAGAGATCATACATATAAAACACATTTAAAAAAATCTTTTAAAATGCTATTTTGCTTTTGCCTAGGTTTCAAATTCATAGTTCAGCATCCTACTTCCTTCTGTACTACTAAAACAAAATAATTTCAAACTAAACTGTGAAAAAGCAGACTTGATGTAGACATTCCAGGATTTTTATTTTCTCTCATCTATTTCAAAGTGACATGATAAACTTCCAAACAAAAGCTTAATATTTGGAAGGCATGCCCAAGTCAAAACACAAACAATTTGGGTCCTGAGGCATGGAGCCTGGGACCAGGCCCTCCTCCCACAACCACGCACACCGCCAGCACCAAGGAGCTTGCCAAAAATATTACCTCCATGTGGGTGGCCCACCACAGCCACCACAATAACCACAGCAGCAGCTAGACACCACAATCACTGTGCAGATGGCCCACTAGCCACTGCAGTGCATTCACACAAGGAGAGTAACCAGCAGAGACCAAAGAAAAGAAGATCCCTCTCTCCACAAAGCCCATTCCAGAGTGACAGAAGAAGCATTTGCTCTGTGATAATATTTGGGGACCTGAATGCACCTCTCAGCATTGGACAGATCATCTAAGCAACAAATCAACAGAGTAACCATTACTCTTTCAGAAGGAGAGAAGAAATCTGGGGTAATCAGAGGGGGGAGGAGAAAGGGGAAGAGATTGGACAAGGGGCATAAAGAATAAGTACAATTTGTAACAATACTTATGCTAGTAATATTGATTTGATCAACATATGTCAACGTTGAACCCCCAAAATATGTATAATCAAGTATGATTCAAAGAAATTTCTTAAAAACATAAACAAAAACACACAGTTTTAGGATAACAGTGTTAGAATACAAAGAAACCTTAGGGATCACCATGTGAGCCAGAGATTCTCAAACTACACTGAAGGGAGGAAAAGGCTAGAGCCGAGCCTACCCCACTCTCTGCCCAGTTCCTCTCCCTCCCCCTTCATCCTCAATCCTTCAAATTTTGTCACTATTGTAAATTTGAGATTTCAACCAACACTTCATTAAAAACAAATGTCACTGCTCAAAAAAGAAAAGTTCAAAAAAGAGCAATACCACCCATTAGAGAAGTTAAACCATCTGCCTGATTCCACAGAGCTAAACAAGTGATCGGAAGTTTCAAACCCAGGTCTTTTCAGTCACAGTTGAGTCCTGCTTCACTAATATGTGACATCAGCTAGAGAGGAAACAGCAAATGTGGTGTTTATAGGGATAAGAGCAAAACTGTTTCCCTCACAAAGAAATAAGTTCTTTCTAAAATACAAAAATGTCCTTTATACTGAATATGTCACATTTTGGTAACATTGATAAAATGCACTCTGTGCCAAGGGAATTGTAAAATAAAAAGGCAAACTGGAAAAGAAGAATATGACCACTTAGAAATGCATGACAAGATGTAAGAGACTCCCAAAATAGCCATGAGATACCACATTACTTACAGGAGGCAGAGAGACCTGCCCGGTGATTTCAGGTGGGCTCATGCTCACAGAGTCTTCTCCCGGCCCTTCAGGTTCCCCAGATGGGTACGGTGGAGGTGGGTATGGGGGGTATTCCTCCAGGTACACTTCGAGCAAATGGGACGTCTCTGGATTTGGTTCTTCTGTGTTACTCTGGAGCTTTGGGCTGCTGTCTGGGACTCCTTCAGGCACATAATCAGGGCCTGGAGAAGGAGCTGGCATATCATTGTTCTCTGTACTAGTGCTCCCCACATCCTCTGGAGACGATGATTCCGGAACCAGAGAGACCACCTCCTTCTCCGGCTCCACGTGTACATATGGATTCTGGATTTCTACTTGGCTTTCTGAGCTAGCAGTCACTGCAGTTGGCTTTGATGGGTATGATGGGACAGAGATGGTCTCCATGGCAGCTATGGTGGTCCTCTGATACAAAAGTTTCTGAATATTTGGCCCATTAGGACCCTCTGGCTCTGTTATAGAGCTACGTTTCTTTAGTGGCCTTGGTGCATTAGACAGTTTCTTTCGCAGGGCTTCTAAGTCAGCATCACTCTGGTTTCGGTAAGGATTAGATAAGAAAGGCAGTAATTTGGTTGGGCTGAGTGGTCGAGGAATTCTTTCATTTTCGTGGTTCTCCTGAACTGAAGAAGCAGGCTCTCCTTCAGGGTCTGGACTCCCAGGCTTGTCCTGGCTGTTGGAATAAATGTTCTCTGGCTGCTGCTGTTGATTCTGGGCAGCAGCAATCACAGGCTTGCCATATACTAATTGGGGAGGGAAAAAAAAACCTGATTATAATTAAATAAAACTGGCACGTAACTGAAATAGCCAACGATAACTACAGCCTCCCTTATTTTCATAGTTACTACATAATGCCCTTTAAATATAACCAGTTTTTTGGATTAACAAATGACAAAGGGGTTCCATCTTTACATAATAAACTTATTACAAAATCAAAAAACTCCCATCAACTGTAACATGCACCATTATTTATGAAACAGTAAGAAAGAAAAATTTGCCAGTTTTAAGAAATCACTAACTGTAGCATCCAAATTTAAAATATCAAAATGTAAAAAAATTTTGAACCAGTGAATACTGGTAATCCTCTCATGTGTCAAGGTTAAACTAAACATGTACTATCCCATCTTTCATATTTTTCAATAGTGAGGGCTGACCACTTACTCAGTTGGTTAGAGCATGGTGCTGATAAACACCAAGGCCCACAGGGTTTGATCCCTGCACTAACCAGCCACCCCCCCAAAAAAGGTAAATCAATGTGGGAAATCATATTTAGTTTGCAAAATTATTAAGAACCATTTGTATTTACCAAAGCTATTCCTCCCAAATTCTGATTATACCAAAATTATTTAATTTCCAAATTATTATATTAGCAGCTTTTATCAAAGACCCATAAAAAAAAAAGAGTTAGAGGTAGCATATACAGTTACATGCCACAGAATGATGTTTGTGTCAACAATGAACCATATATATGATGGAGGTCCCATAAGATTATGGGTGTGTAGTAAGCTATAGTATCTAGGTTTGTGTAAGTATACTCTATGATGTTCACATAATGAAAAAATTGCCTAACGACACATTTCTCAGAACGTAGCCACATCATTAAGGAATGCATGACTGTATATTGCTTCTTTGCTGTCCAATTACCAATTGTGACATCTCAGGCCACAATTACGTGATTGTTTCATGACTAGAAAGCCATTTTCACTCAATTAAAACATGGTCAATTTTATTCTAGTCCCAGAAACTAACTAATGATTTAGAAAGAACCCAACAAATTTCCTGACTCTGTATGTTTAAAACAAATTAGCCCCATAATGTTTTACACTGAACTAGAGGCTGTGCCCTCACCGGGACAACTTAAAATAGAGCAGAGTGTTATTTTTTAAAGACACATAGACAAGGGCAGAGGTCCAACCCTCTATGCACTGAGGACATCTGGCCAAATGCACAGTGAAGATGTGGCCCTCTGCACTGTGAGGCCCTGTGCACCCACCAGCGAGCTCCTTCAGAACTGAGCCACACTGCCCTCGTCCCTCACCTGTAGTGCCTCGTAGCAGGTGACACTTTGCAGGCACTCTGTTAAACTATCAGCTGAGAACAGAAGCCACAAGTGAACAAAACCCTCAGAACAAGAGCTTCAGTCAACAGACAGCAGCTCTGGTGCAGGACTTAAATACATCAGCTGGGCAGGTGAAAACAGGACTGGGAACCTTACCGCTCAGAAAGTGTGGCCCTCGGGCATGTGTCTTGGTCAACGTGCTCTGCACGGCCTGCTGGAGGTTTCTTCCTGGAGCCTGACGCTGCGTGTACATGGAATATATTGAGCTTGCTGCCACGGTCTGAGGTTTTCTGAAGGGTGGGAGTGGGGTGTCTTTGGAAGGCTGAGGAGTAAAGGGCCGGACAGCAGCAGCAGGTGGACTTTCCTGCTTAGAACCTGCAGAAAGGGCTGGGTCTTGGCCACCAGAAGGCGCACTGGAAGACAGCAGCACCCTCGGCTGCTGCCCTGTGGGTTTAGGTTTACCTCCTATGGATGCGACAGCTGCTGACAGCTGTTGAGGACCACCATCTGGCTTAATGTCTGAAGGTGATTGATTAGTTTGTCCAAAATAAGGCAAATTAATCTGTTTTGGTTTTGTAGGAACAGGAGGTGGCACTTTAGCAACATTTTTATTTGCAGCCTGTAACATACACACACACAGAAAGCCAATTAAAAGGTGTTCTAGATAACCTATTTCACAAATGCAAGCATACGCTATAAAAACATTAGCTCTACATTTAAAAACGGTTAGGAGTTTTAAATTTCTGTATTTAATCACATTTAATACAAGACTTCAATAATGCAGCATGATTCCCCGCCATGTGACATCCTCCTTGTTCCCGCTTCCTGTTTGAGCAACTGTACATGCCACTTGAAAACTTTTAACTGCCATCTTTCATAGTCACAGAGGGCAACAATAAATGAAAATCATTCTTGGCCATGTGACATCCTCCTTGTTCCCGCTTCCTGTTTGAGCAACTGTACATGCCACTTAAAAACTTTTAACTGCCATCTTTCATAGTCACAGAGGGCAACAATAAATGAAAATCATTCTTGATTATCAGAACTTCATGCAGTCTAGACCACTGTGACAAAAAAACACCTAACTTGAGCACTCACCCATAACCTGATTATCAAAAGTTAAGATCCTAAACATTACAGAAGATTGACCATCAAATTGTTTGACATAACCTCAGCACCAAATCTTGAAGAAATAAGATACGGGGACAGCACAAATAATATGATGTTCTTCAAAGCACTCATACTTTTCAGAGAGTCACAGGAAATATGTCTCAAAAGCAAGCATGTCACCATTCTCCAATACGGTACAAGAGCCCAAGTACACACAAGCAAGAGAAAATAAAGTAACAGAGTGCTGTTATTTCTAATCTTCCATATATACTTTGTTCCTTCTGCTCACCCTTATATAATACTTTACCCCTTCTAAAAACTGCATTATAGAATTACCATTAAATTTTTTAAACTGGGATATTCTTAAGTACCTGAGCATCCCGCAAGAGGTCTTCACTGCTCTGGTTTTTCCTCAGAGCGGTGAAGGAGGGTGGGGCAGCAGACTGCTCTCCTGTGTCAAACATTGAAAAGGGACGCACCTTCTTTTCTTTCTCCCTCAGCGGAACCTCCCCATCATCAACTGAAAACACAAAAAATCGCTTTGATATTCAAACTGTTTGGAATAAAATTTCTTATTCGCTCATCAGTTTCTCTTTCCTGAATCTCTATAAAACGCTGTACCCACTGGGTGCTTTCCTATTTTTAAACTAAGTTGATAAAAGAATAACCCAAACACTAGAATAACAGTGCCTTAGTTCCCTAGCTAAATGAAGGTGTTCTGGAAATAAATTAAATATTGTTATATACTGTCCCCTAGCTTTAATATAGTAGAAAATGAACTATCTAAAAAAGAATATACAGCACCTTTTAAATAACCAAAACAAAATGTTCAAAAGTAGCACAAATAAACCTCACCTTGGTCCAGAGCATTCCCAGAGCTGTAAGGTAGAGAAGAAGAGCCTTGGCTCGGGAAAAGATCTGCATTTGAAGGACTCCAATCAGGGCCAACTGGATGAATTTTAGGGCCTAGAATGCAGAAAAGCAGCTACAAATAACTCTGCATTCTTTTTTTTTTTTTTTTTTTTTTTTTTTTTTTTTTTTT